AATCTAAGTCTGCACCACTGAACCATCGTACATAATAAGAACACTGAACTTAAGAATCAGTTAGCCGCTCTTAAGAGGCGACTGACCGTTGAACAGGTAGAGAAGATTTATGAGTCAGGTGAGAAAGCAAAACGCTTACGCGAACATATTTCTCCCGGTACTACTCAAGCTCTTGAAACTTGGACCGCCCGTCAACTAAAAAGGCCAGTCACGGACGAGCCCGAACTACCAGGTTTTCCGATAGCCTTCGCGGATTTAAACCCCGAAGAGCAGACACTATTCACGCCAGGAATATCCCCTGGATATGTGTCTCCTATTCTCGAGGATATTATAAACCCCGAGACAAGAAAGAAGACTCAGCAGGAGCTTCCCCATTTGGAAAAGGCTCCTCGCCATGTACCAAAGTCTACGGGATATAGTCTGCCTATGCATCAAGACCCACAGGTGATTATACCACCTGAGCTTCACATTAACGAGAAGCTTAAGTCTTCTATTAAGGACTTTGGGGGCACATTCTCGAGGCACTCAAGCTGCCCGTAGGCGCGCCAACGACATCGAGTTTAATCGAGTCGATCGGCACGCTATTCATCAGCCTGCAGAAGATTTCCAATCTGAAGAGGTAACCGCGCTAAATCAGGGCGTAGATGATTATACTCTACAGATAGAGATAGCGCATGACTTACACAACGCTAGCGACGTCACCTACTACGCTAATATAATCGCAAATAAGCAAAAGCGGATAGACCAACTACTACAGGTTCAACGTGGGCAAGACCACCGCGATAACCAGAAGTACAAGGGGCTGATCAGTCGACTTAAGTAGAACTGGGATGCCAACAGTAAGCAGGTCGAGTTTATAAACAACCATGACCTCGACACGCTAACCCGTACGCTTAATGCGTTTACGGTCATGCTGGAGACGAATGATATCGCTCCCCAGCAATGGATTTCCGCTTTAATGCAGTCGTTTGACCCTACAGGAACAAGTTACATGCTCCTGCAGCGACACCAGCATGAGCTAGACACTTGTCGTGACTGGCCAGCTGTGTGTTGGTTGGTCACATCCTTGTTAAGTAAGGATATGCGTAGCCCTGGGCTAAGTTCAAATTTAAATGAACCAGCTGAGAACACGCCCATTCAGAGTTATATTCTGAAGTTAGACGCTGACCTGAAACGTCCCGATATAACAAAGGACAAGGCACAGCGAAGGTACGAATTCCTGGTTATGCACGTGTTCTGTAAGAACATAGGGAATAACGACCGTGAGAGTCTGTACACCGAGTTGCGACGTAAACACGCGACTGAGGCTCGAGACAAGGGACATGAAACAAAGTTTCATCTATCCCGACTTACATGGGAACAGTTTTATGATACTGTATCCACTTTTTTTCCCGCACATCGAGCAACATCGAAGGGAAAAGCGGCTGTTAAGAAGCCGCGGGAGCTCACCGATCACGGGTACGTATCCAGGCAGACCTCAAACGAGAGACCCCAACCTACACGTGCTCGCGAATCCACTTGAACCACGTGACCCAATAAAACACAGACAATACAACGATTCTTTAGATGAGCGTGTAATAATCCCTGTATATTGCAATGTTAATAAAATCCTTGCGTTGATTGATCCTGGTTCAGAAGTTTCATGTATATCCGATCGCTTTGCACTAATGAAAGATATCGAAAGGAGAACACAAGCAACTCACCTCATTCTAGCAGATGATAAAACTGCTAAGTGTGATGCCATGGCCACAGATGTTAAAATCTCCCTGCCGATGATAGAAGTATCACTACTCACACTGTGATAGTTAAGATGTCACAGAAGTACGACATTATAGTCGGAATGAGTGATTTACTAACTCTAGGTATAACCGTAACTGGTCTACCAACTAACATAGATCCATTAAAGGATCAATCAGACGATAACTGTCTGAATCCATATAAGCCCCCGTCAGACACAGTCAAGGCATTAATACCTGACTTTGCGGACAAAATCATGGATCTGATTCTTGTTGATAAGAAAATAAAGATCACAGATTGGGGCAAAATTCCGCTTTAACGACGGATATGTCAGCCTTGACTTAACCAAGGTGGACTTTACACAGTTAAAGTGTCCCTCAAGGAACTATGTATCCTGGAGACACGAGGCTGTTGTAAAAGACCAAGTTGAGAAGTGGCTAGCAGATGGTGTGATAGAAATTAACTATCAACAAACGCCAGTTAACTTGGCACTGCTAGCCGTACCAACATAACTCTGACGGATCGTTTAAGAAAGTCAGGGCATGTTTAGATATCTGGGGAAGGTATTAAGATCGACCCCGGTAAGGTAGAACACCTGTTAGATTGGCGAACACCAACTACAGGAAGAGACGTTAACAGCATGTGTGGGTTTGTAAACTTCTTTTCAGATGGAGTACCACACTTAGCTGACTACCTTAAACCCTTTGGACACTTAAGATGTCATAAAGGCAAACTAGAAGACTTGTGGACTAAAGAGTGTGATGACGCATTTAAAGCGCTCAAACACGCAGTCCAACAAGCCCCAGTTGTACAAGGACCAGTCGATGGCGTACCGTTTGAAATAGCAACGGACGCCTCCTACTTAG